ACTGTGTTTTTGGTGTGTTGATTACTATTTGTATAACCAGAGTTTTACTACAAATATCATGGTTAAACTATGGTTAGTGTAGCGAAACCATGGTTAATTTGTGGTTACCATGATTTAACTATAGTAACCATTATTTTTTGGGTTTTATCTGTGGTAAAACCATGGTCATTTTTCATAAGGGACACCAGTGTTTTTGAATTAGTTTTTATTTTTGTATATTCCATTATCATTTCAATTTTAAAGAAAAAAGAAAAGTAAATAAAATACTATATAGACATAGAAAGAAAATGGGCAAAAACAACACAAAACTACTAAAATGTTGTTTTGTCACTTTTATTAGTTTTTAAAAATACATCTGTGTAGTTTATTTTTATTTTTTTTCAGTTTAAGTCATGTTAGTACATCAAGTGAAACTAAATGAAAAGGAGAAATGTTACATTGGTAACTAGCTGAAATAAAATAATTTTATTTCTAATAATATTTTTGCATGGTTTTAGTTTTAGTTCCAGCTCTATAATAACCCTGAAGCAGTAAAAAATACTCCCTCTAAAGCCTCCAGGCCTGTCTTTGTGTTGAATGCATGAGATCAGTCTGCCATCTGCACGATTAATATTCCCAGTAATAACTGCTATTTGATTTTGTGCTATTCTTTCAATAGGAACTGCCTCCCAACCGGCATCCTAATCCTGAATTGTTCATCCCAGGCCAATTTACAAGAAGAAGGTCAACCCCTTGTTGAAACCTAGAAAATCCTCCTCGCTTGTTTGTGGCCACACATGACTAGAGGCCTCATTAGATAAGGGTCGATATTAGACCTGCGTGAGGATTCGCATTACGCCAATGCTAACTGAGGTCCTGCAAGGTGGTCTGGTTATTTGCAGCTTCCTGTCATCATCACTAATGTCGAAGGAACTCAAAATGGGATGTCAAGTTGCTCTGTCACACCAACCCCTACAGCTGTACAGTATGATGTGGGATTTTTTTCCCCACAAATGAGGTGGGTTTAAGCAGTATTAGACAAGGCTGCCCACATGATGTCAGCAGATGATGTCACAGATGATGGACAAAGTAACATCTGTTGAGTTGAGGAATATTTCTGGTTAAAGGTAAAAGGTTAATCGCTTGTGAGGGCAGATCGTTTTCAAGACATTAAAGCCATTGAGGATTCCATGGGAAAATGTAAACATGAGCCCTCAAGTAAGGCTACGTTTCAAACAGATGAAACATACACTGTGTCTCCACCCTTTATAATACAATGTATTTATCGCTGTTGTTGTGTTGAGGTAATACTGTCATTATGGCCACACCCAGCCTGGTATGCACTAATCTTGTGTCTGGCTGGACTTTACACAGGCTTTACAGTAAAAGCCATGTTATATGAAGCCTAAAATGAGTTCAGGAATGGTTAAAAACCAAGATTCTGCGAAGCAGAAAAGCTCCTTGTCTCACAGACACTTTTAAAAGGCAATGTAGTATAATCTATAGAACCGAAATGCCAAAAAAGTGCAAAATGAAATTCATTATTAGTAATTTTTCGTGTGTTTGTCATCATTTAGTCACCCTCATGTCAGTCCTATAATGTTTTTTCTTCTGTGGAACACAAATGTTCAGCAGAATTTCTGAGCTGTTGTTTCTCTCAGGATAATTGGTTGTGAATGGGCTCTTAAAAATACAAAAACACTATAGAAGTACTATAAAAGTTGTCTATATGATTCTTATTCTGTATTTCAAGTCTTTTGAAGACGTATGGTAGCTTTTTGTGTTGTTATGCTCTTGTTTTTGTACCTTGACAGAATGCATCCTCATTTACTTTCATATATATGGAGCAGCGTGAACATTCTTCTAAACTTCTCTTTTTGTGTTCCACAGAAGAAAGTAAATCATACGGGTTTGGAATGAAGTGAGGGTGAGTAAATTATGACAGAAGTTGCATTTTCAGGTGAATTATTCCTTTAAGGAGCATTATGAATGGCCAGTTTCAAAGCTGCTATTGAAACAGTGGAAATGTTTAGGGAGTATCCCAGAAGGTTTTGCTCTGAGTTGGAAAGAAAAACAGAAAATGGTGGCTGCCATGGCGATTTGGGCAATAGTCACACACAGTAAAAATTGTGGTACCTGTGCTTCAAAAGATCATTCAGACACAGACCAAACTGGCAGAGCCAAAAGCTTCATGGAAAGGTTCAGACACGTGATGAGAGAGGCATAAACAGGTTTATGTTTAGATATAATGTAATGCGAGACCAACCACAGTTTCAAACACACACATCAGCACACACACAACCTAGATCTAAATTAGTTCCTCACTACTTATTGTAAATCTCAGATGGAAGAAGAAACTGTTTACATGATTATCATGTTTTCATTACAAATATTGAGTCAAGGATCAATGTTCAAGGCAGTTTAAAAGCCAACTTTTACAATGTTAATTATCAACCAGAAACAAGAGTGCAAATACAATGTTAAGGAATTTTTCCTGTTCAACTCTTGACATACTTTCTGATTTCTGAAGGATCATGTGACAATGAAGACGGGAGTAATGGCTGCTGAAAATTCAGCTTTGCCATCACTGGCGTAAATAAAATTTCATAATATATTAAAATATAAAACAGTCATTTTAAGTTGTAATAATATTACTGATTTTACTGTGTTTTACAAAAGAAACAAATATCACAAATTTTGTGTTACACTATCAGCATTAAATCTCTCTTACTGTATATAATTAATTAGGAGAAACATCTGAGACAGAGCTTCTATTTAAAGAATAAGTGAGATCTCCTGAGCTTTAACGTTTGCACCCCTGAGCAATAACGTTTTCCTCAGGGTTACGTCTCTATCTGAGATGGCGTTCTCTGGTTGTGACTAATGCATATAGCACTACTCTCAGTTTCTCAAAGCTGTGAGATTGTCATAATTTGCAAATACACAAAACAACAAACACCAGAAGGACCAAGCAGACTGTCGATAATGTGTTCAGAGCGCTCTTTTTGTACTTTGAGGAGTGCATGCAACTCTAACAGTAGTTTGGAAAGTCTTTGTTTATCAAAGGCAGTCATGTAAAACCCTCCGGTCTGGTGCCACAGCACTAAGCTGCCACTCAGAGCATCTGTGCTTATTCTGGACCTAATCTCACTTTAGCTCTACCTATATGCTCTTATGTCTGCAATGGAGAAGGCTTCCTATGTCATTCAATCCTTGGACCTTGACACATATAATCCACAGTAATTGATTTCCTTGTGTGTTGTGTGTCCGTGTGTGTGTGTGTGTGTGTGTGTGTGTGTGTGTGTGTCAGTTTGTACTCAATGGCTTCTATGTAAACACACTATTACAGAGATTAACATTCGCAATCAAACAAAGGAAGTAGTTATATGTTTGTCTAAACGTCAACACAGTCGTAAAACAGATTATGATCTCGGTCTACCCGACAGCCCCATATACACACAAACACACACACACCTGTTTAAAACCCCTGCGTATGCATATTTATTCACAGTCGTGTGGTTTTGATGGCATTTGTGGCTGTATTTTGTTCTGACAGGAGATTGAAATGGCACACAGGAGAACAAAAGCGTTTTTGGAGGCAGCACAGAAGAATCAGTGACAGATTAAAGAGTTAATCCTCTCGAGTATCTGTAGGTCTGACACCCCACGTCAGGATGAATTCCTCTCAACACTGCGCAAGACCATAGTAGAGTCAACAGCACAGATATAGACCTCATGCTTTCAAGACAGGGCCACACATGCAGACATGTGCGCACACACAGCATTTAACTTTCATTGTAAATTTATTAATGGAATAGCTATAAGCACATACAAAAGTGCCTGTCAAATTACATTAGAATATTGTGAAGATGAGACTGAAGATATTGTACTTGCTTGTTTTGCTTATGTCAGTGACAAAAACAAAATATCCGACATTGATTTTACTTAAATACCTGTTCTGTATTATTTCTAATAGTTTTCAGGAATATGTGCTTCTGATCTCAATTTTATATCCATTTTTTTTTCTTTATTTCGATTTTCTCCACAGGAACAGATTGTATCATAAAATTACAGATATAATTCAATAATATCATTAGGTATAGGCTATATATATCACCATTAATACTATTCTGTCTATTGTATTAATAAAAAAGGTCTATGCCTCAGAAGAAGCAGAACAAAGTTACTATAGTGTAACTATCGCATGATGTGATTTACGCATGGACAGCATTCTACATGAAGTAACAATATAAGGAGAACATTTAAATAATAACAGGAGCACATGCAGTATAAGCAAAAACAGCAGCTACAAATATATAATAATAATAACAAGAATGATATAACAAGTGAATATATTATTTATTTAAGTTATTTATTCTTTAGGAACAACGCAGTTGTACAAGACCTCTATGCTGTTCCTAACAAATTCCTGAACAAATTGCTGCAAAACAGATAGCTTAAACCACCTTACGATGGTTTGCTGGCCTGTCGGCTGGTTTGATAAGGATTTTAAGAGCTTTTCAGCTGGTGAGGATGGGGTACCAGCTTGCCAGCCTGCTAAACCAGCTGAGTAACAGCTTGGCAAGGCTTGTGAGACAAGCTTAGACCAGCTTAAACCAGCAAACCATGTTAGGCTTTTCTTTCCAGCAGGGTATAAAACAAAGTTACATTGATCTAACAAATGAAGAGCCGTCCATGGTTTTACTTGTGGTCATATGGTCTTAGTACAAATGCCACAGGTAAACTATTGGTGAGAACTAGCCTATGTGGTAAATAACTGAATAATAACATAATAAAACAGAACACAAAACAACATTAGGCTGATTATGTTTTTAGTTTAATATTTAGCATTATATACTCTGAAGTTCCCAAATCCTTCCCTCTAATTCGTTTACGGGCGCGCATGGATTTGTGGTCTCTCTCTCTCTCTCTCTCTCTCTCTCTCTCTCTATCCTTTTTTCTCACAGCCTCTCTTTCTCTCTCTCTCTCTCTCTCTCTCTCTCTCTCCCCACCTCTTCCTTTAACTGCTGGGGGACGTATTCATCCGCGCGCACACATACCGATCGACATCGCGCCGTTTTTATCTGCCTCACCAGCTCCGGTTTCCCCACGTTCAGCCTTTCCCCCAGTCAACTGCCGCCATGTTTTTTTGAGGCAGGATGACAGCAGAGAGCGAGCGCAGACGAAGACGGATATAATACTGAAAAACCGTCGAATTGCAGCATTTTTTCAACCAGGCGAGGGTCTATTTTTATTGCGGACTCGCGAGGAACTAATTTATCGGTATATTTGCAAATACCAAGGGCTGACTTGTAGTATTGTTTTGTTTTCCTATGGCGTAGGCACATTTTTCCTAATATATATTCTTTTTATTTCAGGATGGGAGGGGGTCCTCCCACATAAATATAAAATCCACAAATTATTATTTTCTCCGTTTTGAAGTTTATGCCATGAAAAAGCAAGAAGTCAGAAGCCTGTCTGAAGAAGAACAACCTATTCCTGCCTGCGCTTAACTACCTCTACCAGCGAACCTACAGGAATAACCAGCCGAGTGATCTCTGCATGAACAACTGCTTTACCACAAGTCATCTGCTGTCAAAACTTTGTTTCTTAAGCAAACTGAAGGAAGAAAAACAACTTTTAATCTAAAGTGAAGATCCGACAGATATTTCAAAGATGACGGGCAACATCCCAGTTGACATGGTAAGTATTTACTCGTTCTGCAAAAGGTTTAGTGGTGTTTACGATAAAATATAATGTTCTGTGAAACGAAATAATATCTATTTTTATGTTTCTAGTAGTTTTTGCTATTACTAAAACGTAACCAAAAGAGAAAAAACGTTTTCAATATGACTGGCACCTATTATTAAGACGATCGTTCTTTTGATACTTAAATTAGTACTCAGTAGTACTTATTCTTTTGTTTGTAGGCATATACTGACAGATAACTATTTCATAGTTACTAATAACAGATTGCAATATTCTATATACTAGTAACAGTTTGAATTGTTACAATAAACAAAAGAATACTAACTAGTACCTATTGTTTCTTTGGTAGTGAACTAGAATATTTACCAGCAACAATTGAAATACACACTAGTCTGAAGTGAATAGTTAATAAATGAACCACAGATCCCCATAGAATTCAATAAAAAAGTGCTGTTTGTTGCTAGAATCAATAAAATAGTTACTCTATTGAGATTCTGACTAGTAGCAAAGGACAGTACTGAAATCGAATGAATAGTGGATTACTAGTAATTTTTCGGTCTAGTACTAGTTGCATCATAATAGATACTAGTTAGTTTCATAACAAATGTGTTATATAACAAATATGTTAGTGTTTGTTAGAGATTAAAGAAGGTCAATTGATTTCATAGTTGCTTTTGCAAATAGACCAACCCAAGAAAATCCAGAAAGACAGTGTTATTAAATGTCTTGGATCACTTTTTGCTCTTCCGCCAATAACCCCATCAAAATACCACCTCAATCAGGAAGGGCAGTAGTGTAAAGATATCCTATCTGATGGCCTACACAGTGCTGTTCAGACTGATAAAGAGGAAGTATGATCAGGGAGACTCGAAAACAGTCACTGCCCTGTTTGCACAACTAAAACCGTCTCGAAATGTGAATCTAAACGAATGCTCAAACCAAAACTCCAACATTAGAATCTTGCTGTCCAGAGGGATGATGTCATAGATTCTTTTTAATCCTCATTGCATGCTTTTAGAATAACATTTCAAGCTTTGCATTACGATGTAAGGCTATAATAGATTGGGACTTCTAAACCCGTTGGGTGGTGTTAGTACTGCCAGTACTCGCCAGTATCCAGAAGGTCAGTGGTGTAATTCGAAGGACGTGAGAAATCAGCTTATCAACAATAAACCACAGCCCTGATTGTGTATTAAGATATTGAAACTAATATCAAAACAAATAAGAACTCTTTCTATTGGCACCAGACTGTAACATTGTGTCGCAGCGTGTTAGTCAAGCATGCTTTGGATATGCCAAACAGCTGATCTGGCTGTCAAACTCAAGAGATGCCGATGCTCTGACATTGCAGGCACTCCGTTTGATGTAATGTATGCTGAGGGCTGATGTGATTGGCCCTTGCAGTGCACATTCAGCTGTCCTTCTGTTTCTGCCATTGAGTAGCACCTAAATGTAAACCTGTCTCTCAGAAAGGCTTCCTTGGCAACTATAGGTATTAAAGGGGTCATATGATGCTTTTTTAAAGATCATTATTTTGTGTATTTGGTGTAACAGAATATGTTGACA